ACTACTAACTACTACTACTACTACTACTACTACTACTACTACTACTACTACTACTACTACTTACTACTACTACTACTACTACTACTACCACTACTACTACTACTACTACTACTACTACTACTACTACTACTACCACTACCACTACCACTACCACTACCACTACCACTACTACTACTACTACTACCACCACCACCACCACCACGACTACTACTACTACTACTACCACCACCACCACCACCACCACGACGACGACGACGACGACGACGACGACGACGACGACGACGACGACGACGACTACTACTACTACTACTACTACTACTACTACTTTGACGGCCCTGGAAGACGACGCAGCAGCCACACCTGTCGGTCGGCCCCCGCCCCCCGCGAGTCGCCAGCGCCAGGGGAGGGGGCGGGCGCTCTCGCGCAGGCCCCCGCCCCCGACCCAGGGGGGCACGCGGAGCGTCGGGCTGGCGCCGCTCGGCGGCGCTCGGGCTCTGGGCAGATCCGGGGCGAGATCGGCAGACGCTGCGACGGCCGATGCGCTTTCAAGTCGGCAGACACTGCGTCGGCCCTATAGGGGGATTTTGGAGGACGAATGAAAAAATAGCCCAACGATGCCCCCAAATGGCCAAGTCATTTGATTAACAAATAGTCCCCAGACTATTTTTCAATATTTTTTGAATATTTCTCCTGTAGAGCCCGACGGACCGATACGCGCCGTAAAACCCAGCCGGCCGACCCTCTTCTACCGTTGGAAGGTCGCGCCCGGCCGAGAACAAGAGGACGCCCTTGCCGTCACTCGTCGAAGATCCCGCAGGGAGCGCTGGCACACTCTGGGCTTGCTGGCCGTGGTGTGCAGGGTGTGCGAGGCGGGTCGGGGGCTCTATTCTTTCAGCCTGACGTTCGGTTGGGCCTGTCCCCCTACAGGGGGATTTTGGACGAGAAATGCGAAAAACCTGCAAAAAATGCCCCAAAATGGTCAACAAGTGCTCAACAAATCGTCCCATACTATTTTTTGACTATTTTTGAATATTCCCCTGTAGAAGGACAAGCCCGACTTAAGCCTAACAGCCCCAACCTGTCCGGGGGGAAACTGAATCAAAACACGTCTGGATAATCACGTGCGGATTGCTGGCAGGTCCCTCCCAGGGTACCGGCCCTTTGACATTTCGCGGGGAGCCCGTGCCTTCGGCCAGCAAGCAGTGTCCTTGTACATAGCCAGGCTGAGCGGCACAAAATGCAGGAACGCCCAACACAGATCTGCAGTTCAGCAGCTTCGAGAGCGGGCGCTCGCTGGGGGGCGAGGGGCCCGCTTCTTATTCACGTCGTTGGCTAGTCCCCCCTAGCAGGTTCGGGGTGGAGGGAAGGGTGAAGAACAAAACGTATGCTGCCACCAAGCGACCCGAAACAAATTTTAAGCACAAACCTTGATGTGTATCGGCTTCTAGCCATGTCGGGAGTTCACGTGCACCAAGATGCGGCCCAAGATGGGCTTGCGGAGGGCTTGGTGCTGGTTGAGCAAAGGTGGTGTTTGCGAATCAACCACGGCAAGTTCGAAACGTGACGACATCGGCGCTGGTTCCTGACACCGTGTGGATAACTCAGCATTGGGAGATCGAAACCTTCTTACCGGTAACGCTTCGGGCCGAGCACAGACAGCCACTCCAAGTAGCCCCGGCTGGCCTCATCAGGCCCCCGGAGTAGTCCCAGCTGGCCTCAATAAGCCCTCCGGATCGTCCGGGGCGGTCTCAGTCGGGGATCTTCTGACCCGGGTCAATCCAGACCTGGGTCAGCAGGAAACCAAAAAACTGCAATGCAGGACAGAACAAAACTGCAACGCAGGTCTTCGCAAACCCAGGTCAGTCAATATGCGCGGCCGCCTCGCGGCTCGCTAACCCGGGTCAGCCAGAGGGGGTCTTCGCAGGACCCTGCAGGATCCGGTGCCCTGGCTGACCCCCGTTTGCATTGACCCCCGTCTCTTGAGCCCCGACTCAGCACCCTGGCGCCGCCGCTGGCGGAGCCCCTGGGGCGCTCCGCGCCCCAGGGTTGAGGCGTCGAGATCGCCCCGGGCCACTCGGGGGGGCCTCTCGAGGCCAGCTGGGGCTACCTGGGGGGGGGCCTGCCGAGGCCAGCCGGGGCTACCTTTAAGTCGGGCACGTCCCTCCCTACAGGAGGAAAATCCAAAAACAGTAAAAAAATAGTCTGGGGACGATTTTTTTCTTTCTTTTTATGGACTATTTTGAGTATTTTTGATATTTTCGACTTTTCGTCCAAGATCCCCCTGTAGGGGGACCTGCCCGACCTAAGAGTACCTGGGGGGGGGGGGCTGTCTGTGCGCACCCCGAAGCCTTACACATTTCCTGCTGGCGCCGATCTCCTTCGATGTGTCGGCGGGTGCCTGGCCACCCTCGGCGTGGCAGCAGAGGCGCAGTTTTTTGTTCCTCGGGCGCCTCGGGGCGTTGGCAGCGACCTCGAATGTCGGGGGCGCGCAAACATGGATTAACGATCCATGGGTCTGGCGCGCGATCGCCGGATCCATGGATCCGGGGAGGTGCCCTCACCAAGATGCGGCCGGTGCCGCCTCGCTCGACGGGGCCCGGCGCTAATCCACGCCCCCCGAAGCCGTGTTTGCGATCGCCTGAGAGCGGATGGGGAGAGAGGCCGGGGGCCCGCGCGGTGCCTCCAGGGTTTTCCTCACAGCCTGCGGCCTTTCGCATCGAAGAGCGCCACGAGTGAGCTCACGCGCACCCAAGCCTCTCCCGACCCCCTCCCTCCCCTTCAGGAGCGCCCGATGGGTGGAGGAAGATCCCGCCCCAGGAAGCTGCTAAGCGCACAGCCGAATCCTTCGCCGTCTCCTCAGAGACCTCGGCCACCATCTCAGTGGTGCTGGCCAGCGGAGTCGTATCGGCGAACGTCCTTGTGGTCGGCGGAGTCGTATCGGTGAACGTCGTGGTTCGCAGCGTGCTTGTGGTTGACGTGGTTTTTGTCGCCGTGGAGTTGCTTCCTCCCCTTCCTCGTTGGCAATCTCGCCCCCTCTCCTCAGACACTACTTCTCTGTCACTGCGTCGTCGTTTTTTTGTGATCTTGCAATCGTCTTCCCGCCCCAATATGTTTTCGATCGCTCCACCCGTTGCACACTCGCCCCTTACAAACTGCCCTTGCAAATCGGCTAGCGATCGCGACTTGATGGTCATGCGCTCCGATAGGGGAGTTCAGTGCCGCACAATGCCTGCGGCACGTTGAGGCGTGGAAGAATGCCAAGGGCTGCCTGGCAAAGTTTCTGGAATCGTGCACCACCCCATACTCCCGGGGGGTCCCTGAGCGGCCATGGCGCCATGGCGCCTCCCTGGGGCTCTGTAAGGCTTCCATGACGTCCCAAGAGGTTCCCAAGACGGTCCAAGGGGGGCCCGAGTTGCCGAACGATCGCTCGAAGACGCCCTAGATGGCCTCCAGATGGCTCAAGAGGCCTCCAGGACGCCCCGAGAGGCCTCCGATGAGGCCTCCCAAGAGGGCCCCGAGAGGCAAATACGCCTGATATTCCTTCGGTTTTGCAGGATTTTGGCTTCCTCGCCTTTTCGACAACCCGCTGCTCCAAGACGGCCCACGAGGCCCCCAATACCACCCCAAAACGGCCCAAGAGGTCCCCTAAGACGGCCTAAGAGCGGCCCAAGACGGCCCAAGAGACGCCTCAGACGGCCCAAGAGGGCCCCAGGACGGCCCCCAAAGTGGCCCAAGATAGGGAACGCGAACCGCACATTCGAGCCTTCTGCCTACCTGGCGAAGCGGCCTGGTTTCCCTGCTGCCCGGGAGGTGCGGCGAGCCTGGAGGCGCGGGGCTCGACAGAATAGCACACGGGCCAGGCGGTGGACAGCGGAGCAGTTTCGCCCTCCTCTGCCACCCCAGCCCCAGCTCCTCCATTGTTGTGTCGCCCCCATTGGGCCTTATGCTCTCAGCGCGGGCCGACGAGAAGCCTGCGCCTGCGGCAGCCCCTTTGGGCTAGCAGGCGGGTGGCCGAAGGAGTTGACACGCCCAAGGGGGCGATACCCGCCCAGAGTCCTTCGGGCGAGTGGCCGCCCAGGCCCAGGTCCCGAGGGGGAGGGCTGGGCCTGGCTGCGGTCAATAACGTCACAATCCCAGCTCCCCCACCCCCTGCGAAGGCCACTCCCTGACTGTTTTTTGGACCTCTGCGGATCTTGGAGGGCCAGGGGACAAGAGGAACAACATACACATCACATGTTTTACATCAAGATGTGCTCAGCAGATGCGCGTGGCGGCAGCAGCGTACAGAAGGCACAGCCAGCGGCGGCGGATGCGCGTGGCCGAGCGGCTTGTGTACAAATAAAGCCATACAACGCGTGGTCAAACATAAAGGTTGGGCGCCACCTTCCGACGGCGCGCCACCAGCGCCAGTCTGAAGCCGTCCACGACCCCGCCGCGGCCGTCTGAGGGCCCGCCTCACGGGGCTCCCGCCGCGCCTGCCGCCTGCCGCCTGCGCCTGCAGCCGGCGCCTCTTTCACAGGAGTGTGGGGCACGACGACGCTGCCGAACAACTGCTCGCGGTCACTTCTGCCACCAGCGCACGTGCTCGTCGAGCACGCCGTGCAAGCGCGCATCCTACCGCATGCGCACTCTGGCACCACCTGGACCTGTATCGCCGACCTCGTCGAGCCTCACCTCCTCCTCCTCGAGGTCCTTCGCGACGAAGCCGTCTTGCCCGAAGTCCTAGTCGGCCCACCGCGGTCGCGCCGCCCCGCTCGAACCGCTGGCCATCGACACGGACCCGCTCCTTCCTCCTCCCTCGGAGTGGCTGGACAAGGGGGCTCCCAAGGCGGTTGCGATGGCTGCGGTCGCACAGGCGAACACGGGGCCGGCGGCCAAGCGTCTCCGCGCTCGCCGCCTCGAAGCTGCCCCATGGTGTACCTCTGTGCCCTCGCCCGCGTCGGCCTGCGCCCCCGTGCCCCCGCCGACCTGCTGCACCTCCGTGCCCGCGGCGGCCGACGCTACGACGCCCAACGCCGCACCGCCGCTTCTCCCCGCCCCTGCCGGTGCGCACTGCGGCCGCTGCCCTGCCATCTGCGCGGGGAAGGCGCCCCCCGCGCGCGGCGAGCGACGGCCGCCGCGCTGCCGACGGCCCCCGCGCCTCCGGCCCCCGCGGCGGGCAACGGCACCCGCACCGGCGCAGCCGCCCGGGCGGGCCGCGTGGCCCGCTGCGCCATCCGCGTCGGCGTCGGGCCCTGCGCCCTCTCCGCTGGCAGCGCGCGGTGGGCCGCCACGTCCTCCTCGTTGGCGCCTGGCATGGGTCCCGGCGGCAACGTGGCCAAGGGGCAACGCTCGCGCCAGGCCGTCGCTGGCGCTGGGGCCGCTGCAGCGCCGGGCGGAACTCCGTAAGCAAAGCGTCGTCGAAGTGCTCGGCCTGCGTCGCCGATGCCGGTACGAGCACACGTGCACCCGCCAAGTGCCAGATCATGATGCCTGGGCTCACGACACTCTCCACCTCCAGGCGCAACGTCGCCGCACTCAGCGTGCGCCTTGACCCCGACATCGACAGCACGAGGCTCGTGCCCCCAGCCAGCACCGCCGCGAAGGGCTGCATGCAGCCGCGGAGACCTCCTCGAGGCGCCGCAATGCGCGGGGACGCGGCCGCCCTCCAGCCGCCTCCTTGGCCGCCGCGGCCGCGCCCCCGCCGCTGGCGCAGGGCTCGTGCCACGTCGGCGGCGTGGGCCTGCACTGGCCGCCGAAGCGCGGCTGCGAGGGCGCCGGGCTGGCCACATCCGCTGAGGCGCCGCGGGCGCCGGCCAGGCTCGCGGAATAGTCTGGCGTCAGGTCTGCGCTGCAGCAGCTACCTCGCGCCCCACTGATCGGGGGCATTGGTGTCGTCGCCAGAATGGTTCCCAGTGCTTGCGACGTATCGCTCCCGATGCTCCCGGTGAGTGGCTCCTCTCCTGCCGAACACCTTCTTGTTACACGCGCTGCCACGACATGCAGCGCTACAGGGACTCTGCTTGTATCATCTGACATCTCAGGATTTGTGTCAGACCATGCCGCCTGAGCTTGGACTTTCTTCCGCACATCCTTGGTACATGTAGCACTGAGCTCTCCAATCTCACCTTGGACGTCCACGGCTCTCCCATTTGCGCTTGCTGCACCTCATCGTGTATTAGTCGTTCCAATTTGCTCCTCTAAGAGGCGTGTGGAATCAAGTCAAGATAATCACTGCCGATTAACCACGCATCTTCGAGCTCCAAGCCACCACCTTGAAACCATCTGAGTCGGCGTCGACCATCGTTTAAGGCAGAACCCCAACTGACCCCAGCCTGTGATGCACAACGGGCAAGGAGGCTTATCGGAAGAGGGGGATGATGATGCTGCTGATGATGATGAGGATGAGGAGGAGGAACAGGAGGAGGAGGCGGATGAGCAGGATGATCAGCAGGAGACAGCCGAGGATGACGAGGAACGATGATGCGGAGAAGGAGGAGGAGAAGGAATGAGTAACATCAGCAGGAGCAGGAGGGAGAGCAGGGCAAGCAGGAGGACGAGGGGAAAGGGGAAGAGGGAAAGAAGGGGGGCAACGACGAGGAAGGAATCGGACCATACATGCGGCCAGTGCTGGGGCGAGAACACCATGTCAACGACGTGGACAAATCGCCGATCCTGTAACATGTGTCCAACGCTGACGCGGGATAATCATTTTTCAACGTGCTGATCGGAAATTGGCCCGACGAAAGACCCAACCCCATGCAGGTGCGAGTACCGCAAGGCAGATGCGAAGAACGCGTGGGATGAGCAAACAAACTAGGACGTGTATGAGAAGGACAAGTGCGAATCAAGGCAGGGAGGACAAGGGTGGCGAAGATGACGAGGAATCTCAACTGGGAGTTCCTCTTCCTCCTCCTCCTCCTTCTGAGCCTCATCCACACCCTCCTCATCCTTGTGCTTCTCCTCATCGCCCCCCGCATCTTCATTCTCATCCACCCCAACTTGTTCCTTGTCCTTCTCTTCTTGGTCCTCCTCCTCCTCCTCCTTATCGTCCTCATCCTGATCCTTCTCATACGGATCCGAACTCATGGAAATTTCTGGGGGACTCCTTCTATTGAGGCCGTGGAGCCCCCTCATAGTGCCATGATGCGCGCAAGGGGTGTGCCGAAGTTGGCGGGGGGGACCCATGCGGTCGCGCCCACTGCGGCCGCAAGTGGAGCTCCCCAAGGCCACGGAACGTGCGAAGGGTGCGGCGACGTGACCGGGGGGAACCCGTGCGGTCGCACGTGGAGCTTCCTGTCGGGCCGCGAAGCGTGTGAGGGGTGCGCCGACATGGGCGGGGGAACCCGACGTGGTCGTGCCTGCCGAGTGCGCAGGCGGGGCCCCCTGGGGGGCCACCTCATCGAGTGGGCGGTGCGCTGAGATGGGCGGGGGGGCCCAATGCGGTCCCGCACGCCGGAGCAGCAGGCAGGGCCTCCATATGGGGCCACGGCGCGCGTGAGGGGTTCTTCGCCGACAGGGCCAAGGCATGTGTGCTGGGCAGGCGGAGGAGGGGTGGAGGGAGCGGGAGGAGAGGAGACGCGGGGAGCTGCGGATCCGAACCGAGGACCCAACTCACACAGGAGGGCCGGGGAAAAAGCGTGCTTCCAAAACCAGCTCGGGAAGAGCTTGTGTCAGAAACGTTGTGCGGGACGGGCCAAAACATTTGCCACCGTGCTTGCACGGAGTGGGCGTCAGACTGATTAGTCTGTCGTCTGGAATGTTTAGATGCCTTCTAGCCTCACCCCTACTCGCGCGCGTCGTTCAAGCATCGCCGCCCTATGGAATTGTTTTCCGGCGCTCTTGTCGGCCTCCGGACGGCCAAGGTGGTCTCCAAGACGGCTTCCAAGGCAGTCAAGATAACGCCAAGACGGCCCAAGATGGCCCATGACGGCTCAAGAGGATGCCAACACGACCTCAAGACAACTCAAGCGGCTCCCAAGACGGCCCAGAGACCCTTCAGAACAGCCCGAGGAGACCAACACCATTGATGATATTTGGGTGTTCGAAAGATTTGAAAGTTCCAGCGTCTTTGGGTTTCTGACCGCCCTAGACGGTCTAAGGGGTTTCCAAGATAGCTCCAAGACAGCCCACGAGGCCCCCGAGATGGCTCCGAATCGGCACAAGAGGGCCCCAAGATCGCCCAAGAGCCTCCCGAGAGGGTTTCAAGATGGCCTTAAAGCGCTCCAAGAGGGCACCAAGAGGCCCTCCAAGAGAGCCCCGGGAGTCCAAAACCATTGATTTCCGTCAGGTATTTGGAGAATTGTGCGGCTCTCGCCTATTTAGGTTTCCGGCCGCTGAAGACGGCCCAAAGCAGCGTCCAAGATAGCTCCAAGACAGCCCGCGAGGCCCCCCGAGAGGGCCCCGAGTCGGCCCGAGAGGACCCCAAGATCGCTCAAGAGCCTCCCGAGAGGGCCCCTAGAGCGCTCCAGGAGGGCAACGAGACGGCCCGGAGATGCCCCCCAAGACGGCCTCCGACGGGCCAATCGCCTCCCCGTAAGACGGCCCAAGAGGCCCCAAGAGGCCCCCAAGAGGCCCAGAAGGCCCCCAAGAGGGCCCCACGAGGCCCCCCAGCAGGCTCCCAGGAGGCCTCCAGGAGGCCCCTAGAGTGCCCCAAGAAACTTCCTCCTCATCGTCCTCATTTCCTCTCCTCCTCCGCCTCCTCCTACCGCGCGGACGAAAACGATGACGGGATCACAACCCTCCTCGGTTTAGACCACTCGCTGAACTGCCGCGGGGTGTGAACTCGACCTCCTTCCTAGTGCCCGGACGAAGACGACATTGAGCTCACGATCTGTCCTCATCAGACCACTCGTCGGAATTGCGCTGTTCCTACACTCAGCCTTCTTCCAGCTGCGCTGTTGCACAGGCACGGTGGCGGGACTTGCCGCAGACAGCTGGATGTGGATCTCTTGAGTACGACGAGCTGGCGATGACGAAAACGATGAGGCCAACGCCAGCGCGACAGAAACTTTCTTTCCAACCGTGTGGCCGGCGCCGAGGAGGAAGCGGCTAATTGGCGCTTTACGTTGCCTGCCACTCGCGCATGCAGACGCCTTTCTGGAGACCATATTTCGGCCAGCGCCGAGGTCAGGGCATCACTCCGACCTGAGTCTGTGCCCAACACTGAGGCGAGAACGCTCAAGGGTACAGTCTGCTCGCTGGTTGCGAGCTCGAGGGTGAAGCAGCGTCGCGGCATGAGCATCATTTTGCCCTGAGCACGTGGCCAACGCTTGTGCGGATATGACATTTCCAAGACAAATCTGCGGTTGGCGCCCAGACCGAGCAACGCCGCTCGAGCACTGGGATGCGCCCAGAGCCGAGGCGGCGGCGCCGTTCCGGCCAACGCATGCGCGGGCAGCACCGCGGCGAGCGCGCCGTTCTCGCCCTGGAACCTGCCTGGCCCTGAGGCGAGATCACCACTCCGACCCGGGAGTGCGGCTGGCGCCGAGCTGATAGCGACGGTCGGTGTCCTCCGACGGGCACTCGCGGGTCCGCGTGCGTGCCCGAAGGCAACCAGCGCGGCGGCGGGAGCAGCGGCCCGACCTGAGAAGTCCTCAGAACGTGACCCACGCGGCCCGCGCGGACGCGAGGGCGGCTGTCGGTCAGCTCCGCACGCTCTCTGCAAACCAGCATGGCTGGCGCGGGGGCGTGAGCGCCATTTCGGCCCGAGGAAAAGGTGTACCCTCTGGAGGCGCACACGGGGGTCAGGGCGACGGAGGGTGGCATTTTAAGAAGGCCCGTGCCTACTTGCCTTCTTAGAGGCTTCAGGGGGTATTCTGTTTCAAGGGGCGGGCCCTCGCAGTGAGACGCCCCCTGCCTTCTCGTAAAGCGCCCGAGGCATGAGTGATTCTGGCGGTGTCCAGTGCCAGTGTTCTGTGGGTGTTCGTGTCTGGTGTCTGGTGTGAGTTGGGCGTTGAGTATGTGGGGGTCGGCAAACGGAGGGGAGAGACATGTGCACTTCTCGGGCCCTAGAGGCCCCCTTCGGGGCCCTAAAGGGCCCCTTTGGGGACCTTAAAATGTTCCTTTTCTGCAGACCTCGCTGACCCCTAATTTGTTGCCCCCCCATTACGCGACGCCCAAGTGAGGTGCAAAAACCTTGCGTCGGTGCCGGTGTCTGGTGTCCAGTGCCAAAATCTCGTGCCAGAATCAAGTGTCCGGCGCCTGCTGTTCGAGATCCCTGTCTGGTGGTGGCGTCTGCAGGGCATGTCCAGGGTCTGGTGCCTGTGTCTGGCGTCTGCAAGACGTCTGCCGTCCCCTGACATCCTCTCGTTGCGAATTTTCAGGGCGAGCGGTTTTGGGCAGTTTTCGGCCTGGGGGCCCTTATCGGGCCCTGGAAACTGGCAAAACGGCTCAGGATGAAAAGCCGATCCCTGGGAAGACGTCCGCACCCATGGGGAGCCAAGTTGCGAAACAAAAACCCGACTACGGATGTCTGGGTCTGGGCGGTGTCTGGTGTCTGGGTCTGGCGCCGCCTGTCTGGCGTGGTTTCTGATGTCTTGCGTCCTGCGTCCAGTGTCTTCGCTCCTTCCCCTCTCCCTCGTCGTCGTCGTCGTCATCGTCGTTGTCGTCGCCGTTGTCGTCGTCATCGTCGTCTCACCTCGTCCTCCTATTTTCTTATCGCCATCTCGACTTCCCCCTTCTCATAGCGGAGGTGGCAAGGACGCGACGTAGGAGAAGCGGGAAAGAACCGGGGGGAACTGCTGGGAAGAGTGCGAAGGAATGCGCAAGGCGTGGGTAGAAATGTGGGCATTATGTGCACGAGGTCTGTGAAGTGCACGAGGGTTGCGGAGGGTATGAACACCATGAGGGCCATGGGGATCATGAGACCAGTGCTCTCAGATCCACGAGAGTTGCGAGGCGCATGAAGCTTGGATGGGCGCGAATGCCTCAGGGGTCAAGGATGGCTGTAGAACCGTAGGACGCACCAGGGTCGGAGGACGTAGTGAGATGAACCGTTCCCCGCTCCAGCACATGCACTCGAATCACTTTCCCCCGCCACCCTCGCAACATTCGCCCTACACCGGGCCCCGAACCTACGCCCCAACCCAGACACAACGCTCTGCACGCAACAAACCTGCCCGTGCGCCTCTTGTTCCAATCCTGACCCTCACCATCGCCACCCCGAACCGAACCCCAACCCAACCCGAACCCTCAGCCAAGCATCGAAGACCAGCCCAGCCCCGACCATCACCCAGATTCCATCCTCAGTTGTATTGCACCTGCGCGACGCGCCCTCGTGAAGCCCTCAGGCTGAGTGGAGCGGAGCCACGCCTGCGCATGGTGCGATACACGGCATACGATGCAAATGGCAGCTGGTGGCGCGACGTTTTGGAGCGGAGGCGGAGACGGCAGCGCCCGCGGTGCGCTCCTGGAAACCGGCGACCCTGCGCGGCGGCTCACGCGGGACCCCTCTCTGCGGCGCGCCGCGGAGGTCGGTGGAGGAGGAGGCGATGGCGGAGGAGCAGGAGGTGGCGGCGGCGGAGGAGGACCAGGCAGGGCCAACGGGGGGCCCGCACTTAAGGGGGCCCGGGCCAGCGGAGGGCGGAAAGGGGAGGTCGGCTCCGCATGGCCCCCGAGACCGGGTCAGCCAGGGAGGACACCGGGTGATCCCCGCTGGCGCTGAGCACCGGAACGTCGCACCCCGAGCAGGAGGATGACCCCTGCCAGACAGGGGCTTTGCCAATGTCTGGCGCCGCGTCGGGCCACCAGCGACGAGGGAGTCTCCCGAGATCAACCAATAAACGACTGAGATCCGACGATCGAGGGTTATTACATCTCGTGGCTGCGGGCGCGGACAAAAACCTCCAAAACATGATCTTGGGCACTCATCTGCACAGCATGACAGGCCTCTGCCGTGTCGTATCGTGCCCTAAGTGATCGCAAGTCCGAGATGTCTGAACTCTAGCTCTGCGGGGTGGCAGCGCGTTAAACAGCAAGGGCTGCGCGAGCGCTTCGCCTTGCTGAAGTAGAAGTAAAGGCGCCGACTCCAGCTGTCTCCGAACACCTATCCTCCTTCTCTCCATCACCTTCTTATTGAAAGACTGACATGTGCTTCGACTTCAAATGCCGCTGTCCGAACTGGATCCTCTTGCGGACAAGCACCCGTGCAAGTTCGTGCACGCTAAAACGGTAGGGCTTTGCCTCCGAAATAAAACATGAAACTGGGTTACCTGACGCTACCAGGCGGCAGTTCAAACATATTCACGGGCCATCTCGAAGCGCTAGCGGCACTGCGCTTAAACGCGGGAAAGCTACGTTCACACGAAACAAGCGTTCGAGTAGCAGCAATATTGCTGGAACACATGAATTCCTGGGGCGAGCTGCGCTCATATCAAGTCGCTGATGACCTCTACGAGAATGTCTCGCGAGCCAACGATGCCAACAATGCGGGCAATGTCATCTGAAGATAAAAATACACGTAACAGCTTTGATGCCAGCAGCCGCTGTGATAGGTGGTAAAGCGAATCGCAGACCTGTACAGAAACGACTTTGAAACGGTTCAATCTCTGCTGCCGGATGATCTCGTCCAGGTGGGAGTCGACGATCCCGGACCGCCAGGTGACGAAGGCGCTCAAAGATCCATCTAGCAGGTGGAAGTCCCCAGAGCCGATGACCCACTTCAGATCTGTGACGGACACCACATTGCTAGCGACCACGCCGCCCATGTCACCAGAGAGCGAATGAGAGGTCACGGGGCAGGTTGGGAGTGAGTGTGTGTCCATGGTCCGCAACGCGTCCATGAAGGGACCATCGTGGAGCGCCGACAGCTCCAAGATGGAGTCCCGGCGGTCGAACTTCTCGGCGGCGTGCTGCTTGAGCACGCTGCTTGGGCCTGGGAAGCGCATCGCCAACTCCAGGAAGTCCGTGCAAGAGAAGACGTGCACCACCCTGCCCTGCTGGTCCATGATCGGTACGCGCCGCACTGGGCACTGCCTCGACCCGCGCCTCCCAAGGCCTGCGGCCGCGGCGGGCGCCGACAAAAGCTTGAGCACACGCCTCAGCGGGGTCGAGGCCACGCATGGCACGAAGGCCGAGAAGCCCGAGCGATTAGCGATCTCCCCAACGGTCTTGGCCGCGAGCGCAGCCAGAAAAGCCGAGGGCCGCTCACCATCGCGAGCGCGGTCGCAGAGTTGCACCAACTCTCGGTTGACGTCCATGTAGTCGAAGAAGGCGTGGCGTCCATCGCGAAAGCGAACCACTGCCCATCGGTGATGTTCGCCAGTCATCGTTTTCACTACATCCTGCACCCGCTCGCCCTCGGTGAACACTGGCACCTTGTTCTGCCTGGCGCCGCCGCGCAGCAACTGCAGGAAACAGGACACTGGCTCGTCGACCTTCCACTCCGCGACTTGCGGGCTCAGCCCGAACGGGTCAGCACCACGGTAGCCTGGGCGGCCTGCAGGGGTGGCGTCCTCGAACACATCCTCGATGGGCGGTAGCAGAACCGCCAGGAACTCGCAGTAGCTCAGGGACTCCTGCTCGCCGCAGACTCGGCGCCAGATGCTGCCCACCTCGACGGCCGAAAGGCCGAGGGGTGAGCCGCGGTGCTTTTCGACCTGCGGCCCTGGAGCGCTCGCGCGCGGCGAGTGCGCCGCGCCACCCTCGAGGCTGGCGTAGCTGTCCCAGTACGCCTCGTCGTCCTCGGTCTCCAGCTCGGGCACGGCCTGGAGGTCGCAGGTGTCCTCTCCACCGCCGCAGCGAGAGGGAGCGCTCGGAGAGGCCTCTGGAGAAGGCGGCGGCGAACTGCCGAGGACGGTGGAGCAGAACGCCGCGAGGTCGACTGTGCCGCGAAAGCCGCCCCGTGCATCGAACATCTTGAAGGTGTTCCTCAGCACGCAGAACTCGCCCCACGGCAGGTGCGTGGGCGAGCGGGCGAGGGCCTGAAGCCAGGCACGAGACGGCTTCGACGCCAGCCCGTGCGCGCGGAAGCGGTCCAACACGACCCCCATCGGCAGCGCCTTTGCCGGCTGCTGCAGCTGCGCGATGGGCTGCTCCAGGTACGGATCCCGCAGCGCACTCTCGGCCGACGGGCGCCCGTCGGGGTCCGGCGTCAAGAGCCTGCGCAGGAGCGGCCGCGGCGCCCCCGGCGCGCTTGCGAGGTGCCTCTCCACGACGTCCGCGGTCACGTCCAAGATCTCGCGCTGCACCACCTCCTCCGTGTAGCCCTCGCAGAAGCCGCTGTCCCTGTGGAAGGCAGGCTCGCCCGTGAGGAGCTCCAGGAAAACTACTCCGAGCGACCACACGTCGCACCCGGCGCCGTAGGCGGCGCTGTCGGCCAGCCCGGCTCGGACCACCTCGGGGGCGAGGTAGCCCAGGGTGCCCATGCAGCCCTGCAGGGTGTCGGAGTGCTCTGCGCTCAGGAACTGCTTGGCACTGAACCCGAAGTCTATGAGCTTCACGGTGACGCCGTCGGCCTCGTGCACCCAGTTGCGCGGCTTGATGTCCCTGTGGACAATGCCTGCGCGGTGGATGTAGTTGACTGCAGACAGCATCGGCACCGCGTGCTCCTTGAATGCCTGCTCCTCGAAAGCCCCCTGACTCCTCAAAGCGTGCTCCAGCGTTCCGCCAGAACAGTACTGCATCACCAGACTGACTTCCCTGTCGTCCTCGAATACATCGAACAGGCGCGCGATGGCAGGATGCTCAAGGGAGAGGTAGATGGTGGCCTCGTTCTTCAGCTTCGCCAGATTGTCAAGGCTCATCCTTTGCAGGTCGAATTTCTTGACGCAGCGGACGGCCGTCTCGCTGTTCTGCCTCACAGCGGCTCTCTCGCGGCGCCTGCAGAGCACAACGTCCCCACTGAATCCGCTGCCCACGACCGTCGGTGGCGTTGTCGTGTACTCATACACGCTGACCAGATTCTTGCCCTGGTGGTACAGACAGGCGAGCAGCTCCAGCTTGAGCGACCGCTGGCTGAGGCAACATCTCGCACCAAGCCCTTCGCTGCCACGAACAGAGAAAGGGTACCGAGGGCAACGGCGCCTGGACCCCAAAGCTTCTCCCCAAGACTCAGTTCTCATACCGAGCCGCTTCCAGGAAGGAGTCCAGGGAGGGCCCCGGTGAGCCGAACAGGGCCAGAAACTACAGACACCTTGCCTCGTGGGCGTGAAACATATCCATTTTTACGGCCTCGCGGTCCAGACGCGTCCCCATTGGATACGGAGCGGCTTCGCGCAGATGCGCCGCGCAAGACGTACGCATGGGATCGCGCATCCAGGGCATCGCGCCTCGGCATCCAGACCGCGAGGGCATCGTTACATGTTGGACGACATCCGCTCAGAACCGGTCCCCAGATTCCCAGACCCCTGTTCAGCCCAGACCGACTCTGACGGCCCTGGGGCTGGAGCATACGCATCCCAGACTCCGAAATCACACCCCCAGTCGCTCGATATGGCCAGCTCCAGCAACTCCTGTGCCAGACCTCTGGGCGCCTCGCTCCTGCACCCGCCACCGGCCGCCGGCGCGGGAGGGAGGGAGGCAGGGAGGGAGGAGGAGGAGAGAGGATGACCCAAGGAACCCAAAATAAGGAACGGGGCCCCTTTTTTCCGTAAGTTAAACTTCGACTTCCCATCGAAAACTTAAGGAAAACTTCAGGCAAGGTGTGGAACAATTGAGGAACACCGAGCCCCTCCCCAACGCAAAGGGTTCCTTCTTCAGCGCCCCGACTGTACGCTCATCGCTTGTGACCGCCCTCGGGCTCCCCTCCTCTTCGCGGCGACCTTCGGTCGCCAGCAGCAAGCTGCCGGCGCGGGCCCGGCCCGGGCGGACCCTGGCGTTCCCTGGCGGATTCCGGACCTCTCCCTTCGGGCGCCACTGCCAGGCGATCACGCCGGTCTCCACCTGAGCGACGGAGGCAGACCCGGATCTCTGGCGCACTGCCTCCTTCAACCGCGGCGTTTTATCCTCCATTTGGGCGTCCAGGGGCCGTCTTCGGGCCCAGGGGCCATCAACACCCGATCTGGGGCGAAAAGCTGCCCCGAGGGAAGGGGTCGTGATCTCTGGGGCCACGGACCGAGGAAATTACACCGGCGGATGTCTGGGAAAATGGCCTCGCGCACGATGACTCCACGACCTTACACGCGATGGGAGCATCGAGTCGGAAAATCGTATCGAATCGACATGTGCGTCGGATCGAGCTGCATCGGCACGGAAACGACATCGAATCGGATCGACCGAGCCAGGATTCACAGCGGCACCGTGCAAGCATCGGACCGCATCGGATCGCAGGGACATCGAAATCGAATCGGATCGAACTGGCCGAACACGATGTCGAATCATATCGATTGGATCGACATGGGCCCTGAACGGCTTCTGCGGGCCGCCAGCGCGGCACACCGCGTGGATGCGAGGGCACTTGCGCGCGACCTGGCGCGGGCAGCGCGCGCGCGCTCGTCTCCTGTAAGGTCTCTCGGCCGTCGGATCACAGCTCGGGCCTCCAGCAACCGTTCGGGACGATCTGGGCAAACCCTGGGAACGGCTTCGGCCGCCTTCGGCGAGGCGCAGCTGCTGGAGATCACCGCAATGTTGAAGAAACAATCTCTGGGAACATGCGAGAAGGCCAGGAGACCTCGAGCCTCGAACCCTCCCCCCCTCTCCTCCGGTGGGCGCGAGTGTCCGTGCAGTCGGCCCCGCTCGTTGCCCGTCGCAGCACCTGCTTGGCCAGCGCGTGGGCCGTCTCGGGCACGCTGCACTGGCCGCCCATCTCCGGGGAACGGGCCAGGAGGTGACCTTCGCCTGCGGCGGCCGCCGCCTGCGACGCGAGGGTCTGAGCCAAACTGGCTGTGAAGGAAAACTGCTTCGGGGTAACCGTGAAAGGTCTTCAGAACCCTCCAAGCAGTGGACACACATTCTTTTCTTCTCGGCGGCCTCATTGACGGAATGAAGCTGAGACCCCACCAATAGCGGAAAATAGTTATTCACCCGCGGCACCCGCCACACAACAACGACGACGACGACGACGAGATGAAAGAGGAGATTGTGAGCAACGTCTTCGGCGACCAAAGTGTCGATCTATATTGCAATCCTCTTGCAAACGTGCTCAACATTCCTCTGTCGTGCAGGGTAGCCCAGGGAACATTATTCCCTGGGAGAAAGAACCCCTAAACATTATACAGCCCGCTCAGCAATTGAGGAGGAGCAGGAGGACGACGAGGAGCAGGAGAAGGGGGAGGAGGAGCAGAAAGAGGATGGACGATATTTAACCCCAGCCAAAAGAAAGAAGGGGGGGAACAGCAAACCTCAAGACCCTTCTAGTTTATCTTGGCTGTGCCCGAGGGACTGCGCTGCACCCGACGACCCGAGCGCACCCCGCCGCGCCAGGCATCAGGGCCCCTGACACAGCACGCAACACGCTTTGTCCTGCGAGCGGATAGCGCGTCGCTCCGCTCCGTGAGCAGGAGGCTGTGAAAGACTCGGGACACCCCAGATGCCACCTCAGCTTGTCTCCAACGCGCCGAAGAGAGATCATGACTAACCATAATGGATTCCAGACCAGCCACGTGGCCTCAAAGGCGCCCTACTAGGGCTCCTCGAGGACCCAGACGGAGGTCCCAAGGCGCAAACATCGTCTCAATCACTTAGAACAACGTGCGTCCAAGCAGCCCAAGGGGCGCCCAAGATGGTCCCAGGTTCGCCTCAAGACGGCTCACGAACGCTGAGCCTGGGGGGAGTCGTGCTGGCGGCGCGCACAATGGGGTTGGGGGAGGGGGGGAAGGCTTCTTGGAAGGAGGCTGCTTCCTGGAAGGAAAGCGCCGGTCCTGCAATGCTAGCGAGGGGGTGTGAGGGGAGGATGAGGAGGAGAAGGAGGAGGAGGAGGCGGAGGAGAAGGAGGAGGAGGAGAAGGAGGAGGAGGCGGATGATGATTATGATGATGATGATGATGATGATGATGATGATGATGATGATGATGATGATGATGATGATGGTGATGGTGATGCTGATGATGTTGATGCTGCTGCTGCTGATGATGATGGTGATGGTGATGGTGATGGTGATGGTGATGGTGATGGTGATGATGATGCTGATGCTGATGCTGATGATGATGATGATGATGATGATGATGATGATGATGATGATGATGATGATGATGATGATGATGATGATGATGAGGGGAGGAGGAGGAGCGGGCCGAGGAGGAGGAGGGGAGGGTCCAGCCGACAGTCGGGGCCGACTGCAGAGAACACCAGGGAGGACACGACTCTGATGCTGATGCTGATGCTGATGCTGATGCTGCTGATGATGATGAGGAGGATGATGCTGATGAGGATGAGGAGGAGAAGGAGGAGGAGGATGATGAGAAGGACGAGGACGAGGACGAGGAGGAGGAGGAGGAGGAGGAGGAGGAGGAGGAGGAGGGGAGGGAGGAGGAGGCGGAGGAGGAGGACAAGACGGCCCTCCCCTGGGCGCCGTGGCATCGCGCGGCGACGGCCGTGCAGCCGTGGCACTCCGCGCACACCCCGAGGACGCTCGCGTGGGCGTCCTAGCGCGATGCCGAGATCCAAGTCGACGCCGTCACCAACTGCGGCGACGGCGGCGGCGATGCCGGCGGGATCGGCGGCGACGAGGTCGTCGCGGCGAACGGCGACGACGACAGCGGTTGAGGCGGCGGCGGAGCCCACATCCCCCCCCCTCCTCCCCACTCCCCCTCTTCTCTGACTCGCCCTCCCCGCCTCCTCTGGTTTCCTCCTCTTACCTCCTGCTCCTCCCTCGTGCCTTCCTCGCCCTCCTCCTCCTCCTCCTCCTCCTCATCCTGATCATCCTCTGCCCCCCCCCCCCCTCGGCATGCTCCTCGCACTGCCTCGTGGAGTCCGCGAACTTGTGGGAGGCGGCGAAGCGAATGCGCAGCGCGCAGGACGCTGGCGGCCGCTCTTGACACGCTGTGAGCCGCCGTCGTCGTTGTCGCCGCCGCCGTCGCCGTCGTCGTCGTCGTAGTCTTCGGGCATGGAAGAGTTCAAGGTCGAGGTTTTTGAGCGTTCTTGGAGCCTGTGCCTCCCCGGGGCCTCCGGAAGCCTCCTTGGATTTGCATGGATCCCAGGAGATCTCTGGAGACTCACGGGGACCTCGGGGGACGTCGCCGTCGACGACGACGTCGTCGTCGATGTCAGGTGCGTTCGGAAGCTTCTGGCAAGTCGTTTGAACACTTTTCTGTGGCTTTCGAAAGTCTTCGGGAGAAGAGGGGAGGAGGGAGGGATGGAGGGAGGGAGGGAGGGACGGGGGGAGGAGGGAGTATCAAAATGCTGGAAGCTCAAAACAATGCTAGTCCGCCTGAAGGTGCCTGAAACCTTGAACAAAAACAAAGAGGAGGGGGGGGAGAGGGATGAGGAGGTTGGAGGCGGGGGAGGGAAGTTCGCGGAGGAGGGAGTACCAACATGTAGGAACTCTCAAACATAATCCTAGCCCGCCTGAAGGTGTCTGAGCCCCGGGACAAAGTAAGGGGGAGGGGGGGAGGGAGGATAAGGTTGGAGGCTGGGGGAAGGAGGTTCGCTTTCTTGCTCTCGCTCAGCCAGCCTCCCGCGTGAAGAGACTCCGAATGCTGGCGTTTCCTCTTGGGAGCACCTGCCTGATGGGTGGTAAAGCCGCTCGCTATGCGTTTTATGTCGGGGTCACCTTGCGGACTAGGGAGCGCAAAACAAAAACACCGTCACAATAAGCACCCGACCACCAAAAACCGCTTAGTAGATGCACCCAGGGGAACCAAAGAGGAGGACAGGTCTGTTCAGTAAACGCCCAGGGCCGTCTGGGATACGCCAAGTATGAGGTGGGGGTGTCTTTCCTCCCTTGGCACCCGGCGAGCGGCGGATGGAGGACTGGCTCAGGAGGGGTCTGGCTCAGGGGGGAGCACATCGACCTGAAATCGGCGATGCATCGCTCACAGCTGGCGATGAGCCCCCCACAGCGAATCCGATCCTGGGCGGGGTGGGTAGTCGAGCCCCCGTCGGCGATGCGTGGGCGACTGGGGGTCGATAGGTCTCCACCCCTGAGCTTGTCCCTCCCGAGTGTTGCCCCACAAAAGTAGGAGGAGAGACAAGATGTCAGTTTTTTTGTTTGAGCTGGCCCAGCCTTCGCCTTCCTGGCTCCCCGCGGGTCCGACCCCCGCCGCGGCCCCGCCTTCTGCCAAGTGGTCCGCCGCATACCGCCGCAGCGCGCGGTCCACGTAGAGGAGGACCCCCTCGTAGCCGAGGTGCCGCACGGCAAACCGCCGACCCGCGCGCGCGATCTCCTCCGCGCGGGCGTCGTTGTCCCGCAGCCACTGGAGCCGCTCCGGAAGGTCGGACAGGTCGTACCTAAACGGGAACGTCCAGTGGGGACTGGCTGGGTCAAGCATCGAGCTGGAATTGGCGATACATCGCCGATAGATCGGCGATGGGCCCCCGCTCCTGTGCAGGGCGGGCTGCCGGGCCCCTCTCGGCGATGCATGGGCGATTGGGGTTCGATGCGGCCCTCCCTGACCTGGTCCCCCCCCTAACATTGCCACCAGTCTTCGGGCCAGATCTCGGCTCTCCGGCGGCCGTTCGGGACGATCCGGGCACTCCCAGGCCGCTCTCGGCAAGGCGCAACCGCTGGAGCGCACCCCGAGGCTGGAAAGCCGCCGAGAACCCGCGAGAAAGGCCGAAAACCTCGAACCGTGCAGCTCGCCGCCCCCCCCCCCTTAGCCTATCCGCCTCTCGAGACCCCCCCTCCACAGCCTATCCTTGAGCAGGGACCGACCGTCCCAGCATTTCTATAGGCCTACCACGACATGTTCTTAGTGCCCAGAGATGTTCTAAGAACACAAACAAGGTTCTTCGAACAGAAACCCCATGCATTGAAACAAGACAGTCCCGGCCAGAAATGTTCTAAGAACATGTCGTGCAGACCACACAAGGCTCGTAGCACACTCTCCGGTGGGCCCATGGGCAGGCCAGGACGCTCCGCCACTGCTTGACCCCTCGCGTGGCCCCCGGGCACCTCACCGGCACGTAGTGCTCGAACGGTTGCAGGGCGGCGCCTCGGGCGCCGGCGCCCACGACGCCCAGCGCCCAGGAGACGAAGGGCGTGTCCTGGGCGAGCACGAGGGCCCCGGCGAAGAGTTGCCAGTAGATCCTCGAGGGGCAGCGTCAACTACTGGGAGTTTTTCGTCGGAAGGATTAAGGAGAATTGAGCCCCAGGGGCTGTGACGCCAGAGAAGGCCGCGGATTAACCGGATTAAGCGGGATTGAGCCAGATTCAGCCAGATTCAGCCAGATTAAGCTGGATTTCGGACCAGGGCAAAATCAGAATTTGACCTCCCAGGAGTTGCATCCGAAAGTGTGGGCCCAAGTGGACCCAAGAACTATTCACACAACCCTCTGGAGCAAGGAATACTAGCTGTCTGAGCGGCCATAAAGGTCGGCGGAGCCGCGTCTCTCTCGTTTGGGCGCCCGAATGATCCGGGGTAACTCGGGTCCGGGGTAACTCGGGTTCGGATTCCCGAAAAACGAACCCGAGTTAATCCTGACCCGAGTTACCCCTGATGATTCGGGGCTCTGACTTGTGGTCTCACGTAAATCCTAGCAAGCATCAGGACCCGACACGCCGGTCCGAGGTCATCATACAGCGGGGAAACCATAATCAACATTTTGCCGCTGGGAGCGCTGTTCCCCCCCGAAAAAAAAGGACGGGGAGGTCCTCCTTCTATCAATTCCAAGGCCACCACTCGGGGGGGGGGGACTGGCCCCAGGGGGAAGCCCACATCTCCGACGAGGTGTTTTTTTTTTTTTGCAATCCTGGCGCGGGGCGGAAGATCACTCGAAGGGGTCGGGAATCTTCTGGGAACGCGTCGACCTGGAATCGCCGACAGATCGGCGATGGGCCCCCGACGGCGAAGCCGCACGGTCCTGGGCGATGTGTGGGCTGTCGGGCGCCCATCGGCGCTGCGGGGGCGATGGGGCTCGCTGCGGTCCCCCCCCCCGGACCCTAATATGAAGTCGGGCCTGTCCCTCTACAGGGGGAATATTCAAAAATTGTAAAAAATAGTCTGGAGACGATTTTTTGAATATGTTTTGACCATTTGGGGGTATTTGTTCGACTATGTTCTGTAGTTCGTCCAAAACCCGCCTGTAGGGGGACAGACCCGGCTTAACCCTACTAGCCCCCAGAGCTTTACCCGTGAGTCCTGTCGCAGTTGGACGTGCCGAAGATCAGAGGAGAAGCAGGGACCACCGCCGCCGAGAACTCCTCGGAGGGCCCTGGCATCCTCGCGCCGTGAAAAGGAAGCGCGACGGGAGGTTTCTTAGTATATTTTTCTTCGGCCCCTGGGGGCCCTCATACCAGACCCTGCGCCGCCAGGAAGAACGACTTATAGGATGAAGAATTGATCCCGCAGGAATGGGCCATCGGGGGCGGCCAAGAGGGGGGTGTCCAAGAGGGGGGGGTGCAAATCATGGCCGGCGGCATGCGCGCGGGACAGGGACGTAATGAAACAAGAAGAGGCGCCATGAAATCTCGGGAAATATCATGCCCCCCGCCATGATACCCAGCCCACCCCCGGTCCTCACCCCCCTCTTTGCCGCCCCCGAGAAGAAGTGATCCCGCAGGAGTGGGTCAGTCTCCGGGAGATCACCGCCACCAGGAACCCGTCGGGGGGGGGGGGAAGGCCGACCCCTGGGCGGCGACACGCCCCAAAGCCGCCCCTGGCTACGGGGCCCTGCGAAGAGAGCCCCCCGGAGCGGAGCATGGACGGGAGCCTTCCGTCGGTCGTGGTTGGCTCCTCCTCCTCCTCCTTCTCCTCCTCCTCCTCCTTCTCCTCCTCCTCCTGCTCCTCCTCCTCCTCCTCCTCCTCCTCCTCTTCCTCCTGCTCCTCCTCCTCCTCCCCCTCCCCCTGCCCCCCCCCCCCTGCGTCCTTCTCCCTCGACTCCCCCCCCCCCCCCCCCCCCCTTCGGGGACGTCGGGCCCCCCCCCTCTGTGGGTTCTCCGTGGCGGCGGCCCCTGGTCCTCCTCCGAGGAAGAGGTTGATGGTGTAGCGCCAGTGCGCCTGCTCCGCGGGCGGCACGGGCGCCCCCGTCATGTTGTGCTCCTGGAAGTAGGCCCACAGGGAGGGGTCCATGGCCTGCGACAGGCCCGTCCACCTCGCGTCGACCGCTGGTCGGGCGTTGCTAGAAGTGCCCCTGGCCCAAGGGACCCTCCGGATTGCGAAGGAGGCCCCCACGGCCTCCAGAGCACCCCTTATGAGGCCCAGAGGGCCCCAGGGGCTCCAAACTTGGGGCGCCTTGGGCCAGGGGTACCTTTAGCAACCCCCGAGCTGGGAGCATCTGGGAAAGAAAGACCATCCGGCCTCTGGGCGTGTTGTGCCAGTTCGACCACGTCCACTGCTCGCGGCAGTCGTACGCCTCGAGGCAGGAGGCCCAGGAGACGTCCCCGCGCGAGGCTTTCGCGATCGAGCAGGAGTGCATGCAGTTGGAGTTCGACCCCCGCCAGAGCAGCCTGGGCTCCCGGCGCGCCCAGGGGAGCCTGATGCCCGCGCGCTCCACCCGCGCCGTGAGCTTCCGCATCTGCCAGGGGTGCAGCTGCCACTCCATGGGCAGCAGCGCGTACATCCCGCGCGGCTCCCGGGGCCTGTGCCTCTCGGGCCGGGCGAAAGGGGGGGATAGCAAAGGGGAGGTTTGAGACTCAGCTCGCGTAGCTGATCTTCCCAGCGCCTCCCGGCGCCGGGAGGCGCCAAAGTATCGAGGAATGGGCCCGGCGGCGGGGCCGAAACCAGCTGCAGGCAGCAGATTTCGGTCCCCCCCCCTTTCCCTATCCCCCCCTTTCGTTCGGCCCGAGCCTCGAGAAGACGGGCACCTCGGTCTGCTCGGTGTCGATGTTCCCGGGGCTCACGAAGAGGTCCATGTCCGGGAGCGGCCGCAGCCTCCCCAGGATCTCTATCGCCGTGCGGACCGCGCGGATGTAGGAGCAGTCGTTGTGCTGCGGGCTGCGGTCGTCGGGGCTCCCCGCACAGAACAACCCGAGGTCACAGTGCGACACCCTGTAGCCCCCGCGCACCCTCAGGCGGCACGGCCGGTTCCCCGAAGCCCACGGCACCTCCAGGACGGCAACCTCGAAGGAGTCCAGCTGGGGATGATGGGGGAGCGCACAACAGCATAAACATAAACTCCCGGAGGGCCGCGCAGATGTCTCAGATCGGCGCTGGGGCCTCCTAGGGTTAGGTCGGGCATGTCCCCCATACAGGCGGATTTTGGACGATAGAAAAATGCGAAACAAAGACTCAACAATAATCAAACAAATGCCATAACAATCGCCCCAGGCTATGTTTTAAAAACTATATTTGGATACTCCTCCGGTAGAGGGACGTGCCCGACTTAACCCCAATAGGGCGGCGTCAACCGCGCACCCCCCAGCGAAGAGGTCCCCGGCGCCGAGATCCGAGACATTCCCCCGCGGACCCCCGAACGTTTCTGTCCTTTGCCACCTTCCGCTCCTCCAGCCCAGACCCCCTCGGGCTATGCAAAACAAATCACGGCAGGACATGCTCTACTCTTAGCTGCTCTGATACGCGCGTTTTGGAACGGCAAAACAAACCACGGCAGGACATGTTCTACTCTTAACTGCTCTGATATACACGTTTTGGAACGTAACACGTGCCGTGTTCAAGACGTCCGTGTTCAAAACGTGCGTGTTCGGTCTACATGTTGAGCTCCGTATCAATACGCTACGTGTTGCGTGTTGCGTATCGGGGCAGCTAAGGTTCCACCATGTTCGGCCTCTGGGAGCCCTCGACGGGCCTCGGGCCCGTCAAACAAACCGACTCAGGATGATGAAGAGCCGGTCCCCCGGGAATGGGTCGAGACCTCTGGGGGTCGGCGTCGTGAACAAATACCATGACGTCGGGGGTCTGGGAGATAAGTCCAGCGCAGCCCCCTGAAGGGCTCGAACTCGCGGTCCAGCTCCGCCTGGATCCACGCGGGGTCCCCCGAAGGGCTCCCGAGGCGCCGCTGGAGCACCGGGAAGCAGCACTGCAGGAAGCCGGCGGGCAAGGTGCCCTCGTCGACGCCGGGGTCCGCGCCCCAGCAGGCGTGGGGGCCGCCACCCTCGCCGCCGGGGAAGAGGCAGCAGAACTCGCGCAGCAGCACGGGGTACTCCCGCAGCGCTCCGGTCTGCGGGTTCCCCGGGTCGGCCCACGCCATGCGCGACAGCACCCCGTCCCAGTCGCAGCCGTCCTCCACGGGCTCGTGGCAGCAGAAGTCCCGCCCATACCTGAAACGAAGCCAGGACTCGAGCAGGGACCGACCGTCCCAGCATTCCTAAATGCCTACCACGGCATGGTCTTAGAACCCAGAATCGTCCTAATAACAACAACAGCAATGCTCTGATAACATAATCCCAATGTGTTAAAACAAAACAGTCCAAGCCAGAAGCGTTCTAAGAACATTTCGTGGACAACACCAAAGGTTCTTAGAACATTGTTTAGTAGGCCTAAAGGCACGCCAGGACGCTTCGCCACTGCTTGAAGGACGAGGACAACATCGCGGGAGGACAGATCGAGAATCCCTGAGATCCGGCGGCTCTGGAGGTCGTCTCCCGCCGCCGCGGCGTTCTCAGGGCGTGCCGGACCGCTCTGAGAGCATTGCGGAACGCTCTGGAACGGATTCATCCTCGTCCTCACCCCGTCCGAGCACCAGCCGCCGAGCGGGAGGAAGCAGTCGTCCTCGTCGGCCTCGGAGCCCAGGCAGCAGCGCTCGAAGGACAGCTGGGCGCCGGCGATGTTCGGCGCCTCCCAGCAGAGGGTGTTGCCCAGGCGCAGGCCGCCGGAGGAGGGCTCCTCGGACAGGCCCGCGCTTTGCGGGCCAATGGCGTCGCCCGCCATGCGGTGCCCGGCCCCCCCGCCCCGGTCCCAGCCATGAGCCAAGACGGCTACGGATGGGTGGAGGCTCGGTTCGGTCCGGTTCCTTGCCATCTCTCGGGCGTCCATCCCGTGCGCACCTGTCGATGTCGTGCACTGTTTTTTTCCGCGAGGTGATCCAAGGTGCTCCAAGATGCTCTAGATTCTATGGCGCTGGCGTCGCGTCCTCCTCCTCCCTCCTCCTCCTCCTCCTCCTCCTCCTCCTCCTCCTCCTCCGCCTCCTCCTCCTCCTCCTCCTCCCTCTCCCCTTCGTCCCTCATATTATTATCCTCCTCCTTCTCCTCCCTCCCCTTCTTCTTCCTCCTCCTACTCCTCCCTCTTCTTCTTCTTCTTCTTCCTCCCATCATTCGTACTATCTTTCTTCTTCTCCTCCTCCGCATCCTTCGACAAGAAACACACGACGTGTTTTGGACATCGAAACCGGCTTCCCCAACCACGCAGTTTATTGAAGCCGAACGCGGCTGCTGAAAACACCACGCAGTTACTCTTCCTTCTCCATTACCCTTTTGCCATTTCCGCCCTTGAGGACGCTTCAATATATCGCACAGGCGCTTCCCCGCTCTTGCATTGCGGACCTGGGACTCAACAGCCACCACGAAGAACTCACTCCTCGATCCACCCTCTGGCATCCTCTCTCATTCTTCTCCCGCGACGCGACCAGGAAATGTCTCCTTCAACACCCTCGTAAAAGCACAGGTTGTTGCAAGGCGCGCCAGTGGAGGTTGTCGTCGTAGACGCGTCAGAGAAAGTTGTGGTGGTCGACGTAGAGGTGGTCGTCCCGGTAGCGGTGGTCGTTGTCGCGATGGGGCATCCTAACTTCTTATGCACGCAACACCTCGGCTCAAACAGATGACGCCAACTGAACTGACCGATCTCCTGCTGTCGAGTTGCAGCTGCCCATTCCTTGGCTGCTCCTCCAAGCACGCCGTCGCGTGCGATCCTGACCTTCCCCGCTACAGAAACTGCCTGCTGAAAGGTCCAACATCCCTACAACAATGCATTTGCCTATTGTGCTTATCATCGTACCGTCGCTCACTCCGTCTGCCTTTTCCAACATCGCCGCCCTGTGCGGCTCTGCACTCCTCGGCTCATGCAAGTGATGCATACGGAAAGGACACGTGTCCCCGACGCTCGGGGTTTTGATTCGTATTCCCTCTATCCCGACCCATCAGCCGCAGCTCCACAGGCCACAGCCCCACCAGCCCAAGAGTCACCAGGACCAAGCTAACTAGGCGGCTGGTCGAAAGGGACGCGCTTCGATAAACCTCAAGAGGGCCTCCAACATCGCTGGGGAATTGGCTTCTCTTGTATAGCAGAACACGTCTGATCGGCCCTTGCACCCGACGTGGGCCGCGTTCTGCTGTAAATTCGGTGGCAAGGAACACCTGGCCAGAGGGGCGTAAATAAGGGCAGCGCCAAGCTTTCTTCCCAGTCGTCCAGGCCTTCTTCCAGCGCGCAGCGTCCTTGTCGCAGTCGTAAGGCAAAGATGTTGCCGCGGTCGTCGTTGCTGTAGTGCCTGATACCGTGACTGCTTCCGATGCCACCTTGTTCTGGTTGGCCGAGCCTTGGGAGGCGTCATCAGACGGACCCTCCTGCTCCCGCTGCTCCTCATCCTCCACTTGCTGCTCCTCCTCTTGCCAACCACTCGTCCTGCTCCTGCTCCTGCTGCTGCTGCAGCTCCTCCTCCTCCCCCTCCCTTCCCCTTCTCCTGCTCCTCCTTCAGCTCCTCCTCCTCCGCCTCCTCCTCCCCCCCCCGCTCACCCTCCTTCCAAAATCGCACCCCGAGCGGCCCTGTGGCGCTGCGTCCAGACGCGGCGGCGACGGCCCTCCGTGAGGCCTAGCAAGGGCAATCTATCCAGGGGCGTACCCAACCCACCCAAGACGCATGGGCAAGAGCACGGGTGGGGGTCCTAAGACGAAGCCAGGGCGACGATGAAATCGGGTGAAAATAAATCGAGAATCTCTGAGACCCGGCGGCTCTGGAGGATGTCTCGGGCGCCGCGGCCTTGCCAGAGCATTCCAGAACGCTCTGAGAGCGTTCAGGACGCGCAGGGGCGGATTTATCCTCGCCCTAGCTCCGTCCGAAGTCCACCGCGTGGGACCGTCCTCCCCTGGAAGATCCAACGGCTCACGGGACTGGCCACAGCTGCGTAGCTGGCGTCGCCCCGGGACTTGCTCGGGTCCGCGGAGGGCCGCGCTCAGCGGGACTCCCGCCAGCTCACCAACATGGCGACGGTTGCACAGTTGGCACCGCTCACGGGCCGAGGTCTATTATGGATCTGAGTAAGACCGCGCTCGGCCCCGACTCCCCACAAGCGCACGGAAGTGGGGACAGTTGCGTAGTTGGCACCGCGCAGGGAGGCGAGGTGTACATAGGATCTGTGTCAGGCCGCATGCCGATCGACCCCCTGCAAGCCAGCATACTGGCGACAATTGTGCAGTTGGCACCAGCTGGCAGCACCCGGGGATGCAAAGAAGGAGACGGTTGCGATGTAGGAGGCACCAGGAGAATCGCTCGGCGGGAGGATGAGAGGAGGAGGAGGAGGAGGAGGACGAAGGGAACAATCTTGCACCACCCATAGCGAGGACCCCAACAAAGGATGCTTGGGCATAAAACAGCACACCGCGGCACCAACCCTCCGAAACCTCACGAACATGGCGGCAGGTGTGGCACCGCCCAGGGAGGCGACCCAGGGAGGCAACACCTGGGGAGGTGACACCCACGGAATAACGGCGCACTCCGTTGGACTCCCCACAAGCTGATCGATGTGACGACAGTTTCGCAGGTGGTGCCGCCCAGGGAGGCGAGGCCTATGTGGTGAAGACCACACTCCGCTGAGGCCCCCTCCCCACGATCTCACGTTCGCCGCGGCAGCTGCGAGAGTGACACCGCCCAAGTAAGCGAGGTCTAGCTTGGATCTGCATGAGGCCGCACTCCGCTGCATCCCCCCCTGCAAGCCCATGCTCGTGGCGGCAGCTGAGCAGCTATGTCTATAGTCTGGAGCTGGATAGGCCCGCGCTCGGTTGGACCCCCACATGCTGACGAACGCGGCGACAGCTACGCAGGTGGCACTGCCCACGGAGGCGAGGTCTAGCTATTGTATGGTCAAGATCGCAGTGTCACGGAGGCACACACATTCACACACACATATCGCTTCGGTTTTTCCCAGGTGGCGCCAACCGGGAAGGCAAAGCTTACTTCAGACCTCAATCAGACCGCGCCCTGATGGACGCCACATAAGTTCAAGACACTTGCGACAGTTGCGCAGTGCAGACGGCCAAGTGAGGCGACCTCTAGTTTGGATCTGGGTAAACAGCGCTCCGCTGGACCCACCCCCGCACACTCTTGAAAGTGATGGGGGTTGTGCAATGGACCACCCTGGGAGGCGAGGCCCATCGGGCTTAGAACACCCCACCCGCTGAGTACCCCCATGATCTGACGCAAATGGCGGCAGGTGCGAAAGTGGCACTACCCAATGGGGCGGTGTCTGCTTTGGGCATGGGTGCGACCGCACTCCACAGGACCCCCCACGAGCTCAATAACGTGGCGACATCTCACAGCTGGCACCACCCAGGGAGGCGAAGTCTGGGTTTGGTCTTGGTAGGACCGCGCCCAACTGGACCAATCACTTTATGAGCAGTCCCGCCGGGCGCTGTCTGATGCCTGATCAGCTCACGACAGCAGCGACACTTACGCAGTTGACACCGCCCAAGGAGGCGAGGTTTGGTGTGCGCCTAGGTAAGACCGCGCTCCGCTGCCACCCAACCCCTCAAGCTCACGGGCATGGCGACGACTGCGCAATCTCATCACTCAAGGAACCGAAATCTGATTTTGATTTGAGTGACCGCGTCTCGCTGGAACCCGCAGGAGCTCATGCACTTGGCGACGGTTGCGCAATTAGCACCATCAAAGGGGGCGATTTCTAGACTGGGTCTAGGTACAACCGCACCAGGCTGGACCCCCCCAACAAACTCATGACAATTGCGACAGTTGCGCAGTTGGCACCAAGCAATAATGCGAACTCTATTTTGGGTCCGGGTAAGACCGAACTCCGCTGGACCCCATAAGCTCATACTGTGACGACAGTTGCGCAGTTGCGCAGGCAGCACCAATGAAGGTACGATAGGGGGCAGGTGGGATGTAGGGGGCAAGAGGTTGCGGGAGGACAATCAGAAGCAAGAACATCATTCCTGTAATCAAAACGACGGCCCAACACGGCCCGACTCCGCGGGACCTCCCATAATGCCACCACATTGGCGACAAGTGCGCAATTGACACCACCCCGGGAAGCGAGGCCCAGTCTGGATCTGACTGGTCCGTACCGCACAGGATGACGTTCTCTAGCCCCACCTGTCCTTGAGGGCGTAGATTGTTTAGGGAGTTTCCTCCTACATTTCCTTCGTCCCCTTCGGGCAGGGGTGTACCCCCTCCCCCCCCTGGGTCTGGACGGGGGGCGGCGACCCATTAGAGCGTACAAGAAGGCCTCGGCGAGAACTCACACATCCTTTTTATTCTTAGGTCTTGAACCAAGGTTGGCCTCCGCGGGAGGAAGTCCTGTCAGGGGACCTTCCCTTCCTTGATCGATCGCCTCCCAGATGGCCCCAAGATGGCCCTACAAGCCCTCACTAGAACACCAATCAGCCCCCAAGAGGCCCCCACAGGTACCCCAAAAGCCTGCAATAGGCCTCCAACACGCCCCACTGCGCTTCTAAGAGACACCCAAGGGACCCCCAAGAGATCCAAATACGCATCCAAGGGGCCTCTGGTCAACACAGGCCCCAAATATCTTCAAATTAGGGCAGCTCCGCTGGGCATCGTGTCTGGATGGGCTGGTGGGCGAAGCGTTAACACATCAAATCTCGGTAAGACCGCATGCCGTTAACCCCCACACAAGTTCATAAAAGTGGCGTCAGTTTCGAAGTTGGCGCCGTCCACGGTGGCGTGATTTTGTTCTGATCTCAAC